AAAGAACTGCAAGAAGGTCTTGTTCTTCATGTCTGTCATCTTATTGTTGTAAAGGTGCTGCAAGCCAGTCTTGTTCTTCTTACTTACCTATCTTTCTGTCTTTGTTTCTCCTATTTCTGTATTTTGGCTTCTTCTTCCTGTCTCTCCTTCTATTTTGGGGCTTTTTTTTCCTGTCTTTTGCCGTCAAAATTCTTCATGAAGTCCACCAACATCTGATTAACTTGCTCCATTGCGGCTGTTGTGTATTTATCATAGGCTAGTCTGGATTTTTTTTCAACTTGTTTCTAAATTGAAAGTTCTGGCGAAGTCAAGTTATCAAATAGAAGACAATAGATTTGTAATGAATAAACCTTCCGATTTCAAGGCTTCAATCAGCAAAACCATGACATAATTAAATGACAACTATTTAACAGTCCGATTCACAATTCAATACATGAAACGTGGCAAACCATTGGCAAACATAATTTATCACATTCGCCCGGGTTAGTTTTTCTGGTAATCTTCAAGATACTTCAGCGATTTTCGATTTTTTTTGGGTCTTTGAAATTTTTCTGTTCTAGTTCCATCTACTTCAGAATCAGAAAAGTTATCGGCTGATTTAGGTTGATTTAGTTCATCATCTTGAATATTTTCAGAAGAGGTTGAGCTGTTCGAACCATTCAGAAGAGTGGCGTCTCCCCTTGGTGCCAAATGTTTCACTGAAGTGGTAGCTTCTTTCCCATCACCATAGCGTATCCAGGCGTGTTCAGGATTAGCATCTATAAGATCTGCTTCTTCAACTAAAGGATCATATTTGCTTTTCCTATTTTGTTTTTTACAAGAACTTTCTGTGGTGTTGATGTAGATCTTCTCTGGTATGGCAAATAATCTTTCATGAGGTGTGCAGTTAGTGCTGGTACACATAAGCGAGCGAATCGAATGTAATGCATCTGGGAGGACAGTTTCCCACTGTTCAATTGAGTAGTTTCTTGTTTCAAGAGCTAATAATACTGTGTTCCAAATTATACCGTTATATCTTTCTACTTGGCCATTTCCTTCTGGGTTATGGTGTGGTATGACTGTGAGCTATTCCTCGGGATTGCAAATATGGCAAAAAACTGATCAAAGCATGTTATGACAGTTGCACTTGTGACATCCGAACAAGGAAAAACAAACGGAAATCTGCTGTATTCGTCCACAATGGTAATCATGTATTTATGATTACCTTTTGAAGGTAGTGGTCTTTTGAAATCAATATTTAGGCGTTCTAATGGTTTTGTAGCTTTAATCAGGTGGCTATTGAAATGTTTGTGGAATTTTGGTTTGATTTTGTTGCACACTGGACACACTTCAGTCATTTTTCTAATTTCTTCTAGAGAATAGGGTAGGTTTCTCACTCGGACAAAATGATACATCCTAGTAATGCCCGGATGACACAAATCTTGCTTGATGTAGTTGGAACATTTTGTCTATTGTACAACTTGCTGAAATTCTCGAGAATGCATCAGCTACTGTGTTTTTATTTCCAGGCCGATAAATGATATTGTGGCGCGGCGTTCGCCAGGCTGTCAAGAATCGATGGCGAAAATACTAGAATCTAGCGAATTATTCTACTTTAATCTGGAAAATTAGATTATCGTGTGTATTCTAGATTTTACAGGAATAGATTTAGGGATATATAAGAAGGCCGGCATTGGTTTGTAAGTTTAAGTTTCAGTTCGAGTGTGATACGATTTAAATAGTGATTGTAAAGAGTTTAATTGTTGAGTTTGTTAATAAAGTAATTAGTGTCAGAGTGTTTTGTTAAGTGGAATAAATTATTGCTGTGTTAATTGGACTTTGATTTTTGGAATAAACGAAACGAACAACGAACCCAAGATTTCTGTCAGGCAACCCAAAGCCGCGACAATATCATAGCTATAGAAAGCTAGTTCAAGTTTCCATCTCATGTTTTTTTTTAATTTTTAATTTTACTAGAATGTTTAGTATCAAACATAATCGAAACTGCTTGCTGATCTGTCACAAGTTTAAAATGTCGTCTCATTAGATAGTGTCTCCATTTTTTAACGCTTCTACACATGCATACGCTTCTTTTTCAACAGATGAATGCTTTCTTTCTGATTCAGACAAATTCCTTGAGAAAAAAGCTACAGGTTTTCCTGATTGGCTCAGAGTCGCGGTATACAGAATTTTGATGCATTAGTTTCCGCAACTAAAATTTCATGTTCATTTATTGACCAAAGTTTTCTTAAGGGTAGAAACCACCCCCAACTTTTTTTTTTTCAAATGTAAAGATATGTATTGTGATAGCTCGTTGGAATGGGCATAAAAAAAGGAATATGACCCAGTATTTACTTTTGCATTTCGGTGATCTAGAAAGCGAGAAAAAAATAAAAACATATTTTCCCACACAACTTTTTTGCAGTTAAAATTGTTGAATATCTTCAGCATTTCTTCTTGGTAGAACCCTAATGCGAAACAAGCCCCATTTGTAACGTTATGTAATTATTTCTGACGTTGACACACTATTTGATGCCTGATACTCCGATTCTCAACCCTAAAATAGTGTGTTAATGTCAAAAATAATTACATAACTAGACCACCGAAATGCAAAAGTAAATAATGGGTCATATTCCTTTCTTTATGCCCATTCCAACGAGCTATCGCGATACATATCTTCAAGTTTGAAAAAAAAAAGTTGGGGGTGGTTTCCAGCCTTAAGAGAGAGGTAAACTACATTAATGGCCGAAAAATGTGCCAAACTAAAAATAAAGGGACCCGTTTTTCCGTCAGTAAGTTTTTTCTCTTTGCAGTTATCACATCAGATTCGTCAAGGAAGTTTTTGAATGTCTCCAGCCAGTGTTTCCATTCTTTTTCGGCCGTTGAGGAAGTCGGGTCAATTTTGAATCGTTGTCTCAAAAATTTGTCCACAATAGTTTGTATTTTAGTTCTACTTGCTGATTAAATTGTAATGAATAAACCTTCGGATTTCAAGGCTTTAATCAACAAAAACATAACATAAATAAATGACAATTATTTAAAGTCAGATTAACAATTTAATACATGAAAGGTGGCAAACATAATTTATCACAAGATTGTTCTGGAAAAATCACTCTGTGGACTTGTTTTTCGATGTTGAAATCAATAATGAAGCACTATTTATCTTGTATCACTCACGGTTCTCAAATACAATTCCATAAAAGTTTCTGGAATTTTCCAGAAAATCCTCTAGTGCGCTTGTTTTTCAATTCCGAAGCCAGTAATGAAAAGTCACTATTCTTGGATTACTGACGGTTTCCAAATAGAATTTTATAAAAGTTTTTAGCTTGTGAGCCGGTTTTTCGATGTCGAAGCCAGTAAAAAACTCACTATTCTATTCTTGTATCAGGGTTTCCAAATAGAATTTTCCAGAAAATCCGTTTGTGAGCTTGTGAGAGAGATTTAGAATTTTTTTAAGAATCCAAAAATGTAATAATACACAGGGTGTTTCATATACTTTGATTCCATTGCAATAATAATATTTTTCTGACATTTCGTTAGGTATGTATGTATACCCGAAGCCAACATTTTCTGGCGCAGTTTCATAAACAACCCGCAACTATTACTTTGATAACCAGTGCAGGTTACCAGCAATTGTGAAACTGGGCCTTAATAACACCTATAAAAAATGTCAAACATAATATTATGATTTTGTACGTCCATCGTAGCTCTTTTGTTCGAGTTTTGATTGATTTCCCAGTAATATATTTAAATTCTACGGAAGAAGGTACATGGAACTGCTATTTTCTCCAAAATTACAGGGAAGTCAATATTAAGGCCCTTAGTTCAGTCCTCGTTCTTGTTGGCGGACCCTGTACCTATGATGTATGTAGTTCCTCATCAAAAAAAAGACCAAAAATCTCCGTGAATTTTGGAGAATGGCTGTATTTGTCTCCATCCACTAGGGTTGCCAGCCGTCCTGCATTTCGGTGGACGTTCACCATTTGGGGTTCATTGTCCAGCGTCCTGTAACAACCTATTGCAGGACACCTATTGTACTTAATTTTTAACTTAATGAAGAATTCTGTCAAATTAAGTCGACTATAAACCTGGTTCTGGTTGAATCGATAATCGGTCGAAAATCATATACATTACTTGAAAATAGAATTTATTATTTTTGACTTATACTGAGTTGAAAAACTTCTGGATCATTTTGCAACTTGTATTTTTTATATTTGGGTCCAATGAAAAATTTTTTTCGATGCGTTTAGCTTTGTATACTGATACGCGTAATCGATTGTGCATTGAACACATCAAGGCAGAACTGCAAATGAAACTCAATTAAGTATTCTTATAGGTACTTGCAAAGAATTTCATGATTTTGTGAGAGGTAACAAGAAGTTAATGGTGGCTGCAAAAAGTGGAAAAAAGTACCCTGAACTTAACTTTTTATACTCTTTAAATAATTTGTTAATGTGCGTACTTTCTTACGTACACTAACCCAAAGAATTCTTGTTAGTGTATCAGTATATATATATTTTTTTGTCGAATTGCTTATTTATTACGAAGAGCAAATTTTGGTCGTGGCGCCATCTAATACTAGGATTCAGCCCGTAGGTACTTCGTACTACTTCTACTTTGCCTACAGGCACTAAACTTGGGTTGGGTTTCTTTGCTTTCCTAACCACACTGATGAGATCTGATAGATCCAAATGCGTCTGTGGATGGAAAGGCGAAGAAAATTAACCCAAAATGTTCATGTTGTTCATTTAAGTTTGTAAGTGGTATTTTTCTCTGCAATAATAAAAATGTTCAGAATTTATACCGGATTTCCTGATATTTTAATACCCTCGTCCAGAAAAATTGAAAAACAAAGTTGGCAACCCTACCATCCACTAATCCTAATTATTGATCATTAACACCTTTTATGAAAAACAAAATAATTATTGGCGCAAACACAAATAGAAAATCGAAGCTAATAAAACATTCACATCGTTCAATTAAAACGCGTAAACAGTTCGAAACAATCAAAACAGACGTCGCGTCGCGGAGCCTCGCGATAATTCCCGCACCTTCGCCAAAGCCTAGAATTTTATCGAATTGCCTCGAACTGGCGACGTTCAATATAAAACGCCCGATCGAAGTGACGCACTCTGTCAGTCAAAACCTGAAGTATCACTCGAGTTCGAGCAAAGCGAACTTTTTACGCGATATTTCGCAACGTTTCGTCAAATTCCCAGTTAATTTATTCCAGTAAAAAAATGTCGCGATTAGTGCCGATTCTTCTCAGGGACATGATGCGGCCTTTGAGGCAAATGGAGAACGAAATGCGAGCCCTGGAACGGGAATTTTTCAGACCGAGCATCTTCAACGGACCCAGGTACGCTCTCAAATATCCAGTATCTGACGACACCGCGGTAGTGGCCCAGTTTAAGGATAAATTTCAAGTAAGGCTGGACGTGCAAGGCTTCAATCCCGAAGACTTAAAAGTGAAAACCCTAGCCGATCAAAACGCCATCGAAATCGAAGGAAAACACGAAGAGCGCGAAGACGGGCATGGAATACTTTCAAGACAGTTTCTTAGAAGATTTGTTTTGTCTAAAGATCATGATCTTAAGGCCGTTGCATCCAGTTTGAGTGAAGATGGAATTTTGACCGTAACAGCTCCGAAAAAGCCTGCAGAAATTAGTTCGGAAAAGGAAAGGGCCATCCCAATAGAACACATTAGCGAAGGTGAAAATAAGCAAGAATAGATTTAAATTTTCTTTGGTTTTTGTAATTTTTTTTTTTCAAAATAATAGACTGATGTATACATTGTATTTGCTTATACATAGATGTGATAGGTACCTAAGTTGTTTTTAGTATGGCTATATGTATTTGTTTGAACCCCAATATGTACTGATCTGATGAAATTATCAATAAATTGATGATTTTTTCATAAAAGAAATTTGTTTTATTTATTTTTTAAGATTCAACTACATATTTCAAGGATAAAGTTTTTGAAATAGGTTCTTCATTCAAATTCCCAAAGACGAAGTTCGCATAAAATAAATCAAAAATAATCTCCTCCTTGCCCTTGCTTCTGGAAGACTGGATCTAGATAGTAAGTGAGAGCATGTAGCGGTAATTTACTGCAGTTTTGACCCAGTTGAGTAATTAGACCGGCAATGTATTAGTTTTATGGATAATTGCATCCTTGAGGAGAGTTTTTGGAACTTTATGGTCTTTATGTGTAATTTCAGCAACAGCAAGAGTGGGCGATGGACGACAAAGTATAAATTACCTTTAGTCATAACAGTAATTGTGATTTGTAGTGTGTGATCTCGAATTATATTAAATGGTGTTCCTAAATTCCCAAAATATTTGTACCGCATGATAAGTACTAATCTTACGGTGTTACCAAAATGCCCAAACCTGAGGAAAATTTGATATGTAGATTGTGCACCAATAATGTAGGTGAGGATCAACAAGCGTTGCTGTGTGACGTTTGTTACATCTGGAAGCATAGAGACTGTCTCTCGATGATCCAGAGACAGTACAATAAACTTAGTAAGTCCGATGAAGCATGGATTTGTACCGATTATAAAGATTCTTAGGTCTAAGGTCGATAAGAAAATTACGTTGGCTGATATAATGGAAAAACTAATAGGAATGGAAAAAAGGCTGGCAAACATGGAGAATAAGTTTGATCCTATAGATACGTAAAAAACTTCAAGAGCAGGATGATATTAACAAGTCACTACGAACTGAACTGTATGAAATTAAGCAGGAGTTGAATAAAAGGGAATAGAAAGCGTTGGCTAATAATGATACAAGAAATACCTATTGAACGCAATAAAAATTTTGTGGAAAATATTATATATAAGAAGATTGGCGAAAAATTAGATGCACCAATTCTTGGAAAATTTACTGCTTTCCGACTTGGAAAAGAAAACAAAAACTGCTATATAAAACTTATATTTGATAATAAGGAAGACAAAGAGAAAGTCGTAAAATCAAGAAAAAAGCTGACCCTAGGTAGTAAAACCATTGGGTTTCAACAAGACAACAAGATCTTTATTAACCATAATTTAACCAGGAAAAGTTTAAAATTATTTACATTTGCCAAAATTACAAATATTTGTGGATTAGTGGGGGAAACATCCTTTTAACAAAAGATGAAAACACTCAAATTATGATTTTTACAGACCAGAACCAACTCCGAGATTAGCATGAAATTAAAAATAAAATAAATGTAACCTACACTAATATACAGAGTCTTAGAAACAAAATAGATCAAGTTCAATATTTTGTTCGTGAAAATAAATGTGACATTTTTGCTCTTACAGAAACTTGGCTTAACGAAGTTGATGTATTTTTGTATGAAATAGACGGCTATAACTCAGTACATTGTTGCCGAAAAGGTAGGGGTGGAAATATCTCAGTGTAAATACATTAAAAACTCAATAAAATATAGACTGTTTGGAGTGTTCCTCTCAGGATAGCATCTTGGAGTGGGTATGTGTTGGTGTAGGTGAATATGACGTAAAATTGACGGTTCTCTCTAAGCCTCCTTCATATATAGCAATGAAAAGTTTTTCTTGGATCTTGAGTCTACTTTAATTGAATATCCAAAAAAAACACGTTCTGCCCACATAACAAAATTGCATCCTTAGAATGTACTGGAAATGTTCTTTTTTTAGGAGGAATGTGCCTAGAATGTTCGCCAAAACCATTGGGAATGTCCTGAGAATGTTCTGAGAAAAGATTGTAGAAATACTGTTTGTAATACCCAAGAACTTCCTGGGAAATCCATTAAGATATTCCTAGAATATACCTATGAGATTCTTAGTACATCCTGAAAAGAATATTCCTATTTGATTCTAAAAATATTCTTCAAATGTATATTCTCACATTCAAAGAATGTTTCTATGACATTATAGTTATGTTCTCAAAAGAATAATATACCAATATGCTTGAAATATTCTTAGAATATGTCTACGTATTATTATATCATTCTCAATATGCATCCTAGATATAACATTCTTGTTTGATTCTAAGAATATACTTGGAATGTTAATTTTCGCATCCAAATAATTCCTCTTTCAGTGCTTTTATATGAAAGGCAGTGAAAGAGTTGTTGGAAAACTTCTCTGGAAAACACAAGTGTTTAACCAAAGCTCCGGTTTCGAGCTTGTTATGCTCTCGTCGCGGTAAGCACGCCAACTGAGAGAAACAGGTTCCAAGGTGATTCAAACGCTAGGCAAGATGTAGATCTTTAATAGCGCGTGGCTCCCTCTCTTGGAATTCCTACAATGCAAAAGAAAAAGAACATACCTATAATATTTTTAGTTGGTTCTAGATAGAGCATTATTGTTTAATTGTTCAATTAAGAATTTTGAGTAGGTACTTAAGATAATAAGGTGAACAATATGAAAATATTCTTATCATGGTTACCTACCTACATAAACTTCTCAGCACAACTTGGTAGGTATATTCTTAATACTTGATAGAGATATTAGCCGAAAGAACATTTTTTAGGGGACATTATAATAATGTTCGTATGACATTATTCAAATAATGTTATATAAGGTAGGTTCTTAGCACAATCTTTCAGGTAGGTGCATAGAAGCAACATTCCTAGTACATAAATGGAACGTCCAAAAATGAATATTTCAATCGAAATAATCTTAAAATATTCATTAAACATTCCTAAAAGAACATTCCAAAAAGCACTTTGAGGGAATATTCTGAGAATATGAATGTTCTTTCACTGTTATGTGGGTGCTTGGAGACATTAATATAAATTTGTTGCTACAAATTTTAACTTTAAAATTAATAATACCATCTTGGACGAATTTGCAACTCAAATTTTACACCAAACAGCAAAACTTTGATTCATCATGTATTTTCTAGTTATTCTAATTTAGTAGGTACTCTCTAAAAGTGGATCATAACTGGTTATCAGATCAAAGCGGAAAAAGCCCTCGAGTCTAGGCCTTATCAAGGTAGTGGTCTACCTTGAAGGTAGACAACCAGCTTGATGGGGACAGGGAAGATGACAGAGAAAGCTCTGTGGAAAGTTGGTTTGTCATAGATTTTCTAAAAAAAAAGCACGTTTTGAAGACACGTTTGAATATAAATATATCCAGTATTGTTAAAAGTGAATTAGTTAGTCAAAGCTTGTTGAAGTTAATTATTTCTACAAAGTTACTGCATGTAAACTAGTGTTGTGAATATAAGAAGTGTTATAAAATATAATTCAGCAGTTTATATCACACCATCTTGAACAATTCCATGCCAAAAACCTCATAATTTGGTGTCAGGTGTGGGGTTGATGTAGTATTGTAAGACTAAGTGTACAAACACAGTGCAAGCAGGTTTCCGCTTACCAGTAACCAGCGCCGACTCGCGCTTATAAGCGCGAAAAATGAATGCATATTTTCAAATCGGCTAGTACACAGTAACAAACAGGTAGAGTAGGTACCTGCTTTTTACTGTGTTCTTGGCGATTTAAAAACATTCATTCATTTTTCGCGCTTATAAGCGCGAGTCGGTGCTGGTTACCGGTAAGCGGAAACCTGCTTGCACTGTGTTTGTACACTAAGAAATAAATACGAGACTTAATTTTTTTTTTTGCTAGCTTACTTTTGGTGAAATAGACAATTACAAAAGTGACATTAAAAATGGCCACAAAAAGAGTGGTTTTGAGTGAATTAAGATTAGCGGATCTTAAAAGAGAGCTGGAGGAGCGTGAGATGGATACAAATGGGAGAAAGACCGAGTTACAACAGAGACTTCATGCGGCTCTGATACAAGAAGATGAAGATCCTGATATTTTTATGTTTGAAATTCCTGGATCTGTCGATATAAATTCATTTATGAAACAATTGCAGACAAATTTAACCAATAAATTGGAAGAGAGTTCTAGAAACCTACAAAAGAAATTAGAAGAGCGATTAGATGAGAGTTCAAGAAAAATAAGGGATCAACTAACAGGAGGTATTAACTAACAGGAGGGATCAAGCAACAGGAACCTGTAGCTATTTTGAAGGAAAAATGGTAAATCTGGAAGATTTAGATGATAAACTTTCAGGGTGAGATGCTAGGGGAAATAAATGAAATAAGACAACAATTAGCAGTCATTCAGACATCAGGAACCGCAACAACAACTAGATTAGACGTCGGGAGAACTAGAGAATTACAGAAAAATAGCTCCGATACTTAGATGGAAACGGAGACGATCAGAGTTCCCATGAAAGCTCCACAGTTTGGTGGAAAGTCTTCTTGCAATAATTATCACTGCCAGTTTGAGGCAGCAGCGAGAGCAAATGGTTGGTCTGTAGCGGAGAAGGCTCTGGCGATCACACTGGCACTTCGTGGTGAGGCAACAGATATTCTACAGACTTTGAGCAGCCAGGAAAGAGAAGACTACGCTTCATTGGTAAAACACCTGGAAATAAGGTATGGCCAAACCCATTTGGAACATGTGTATCACTCTCTTTTGAAAAACCGATGTCAAAAATCGAACGAGATTTTGCAAGAATATGAAGCCGATATTGCTCGCATATCTCGTCTTGCATGTCCAAGAACGCCGGAAAATGTCCGAAAGCGGCTGGGTGTTCAAGCATTTTTAGATGGACTCCGAGATCAGGAAACAAAGAAGGCTATGATATTGGCTCGTCCTAACTGATTGGTGGGCGTATTGGCGCATGGACTCGAATTCGAAGCCGCCAAACAGTCGAGCAGAACTCAGGTGCGTGTTCGAGAAATGGAAGCCAGCACAGGGGAGTCCCCTGTCGATAAGCCTGTCTTAAGAAGAATTATTGAAGAAATAACATCTGAAAAAAAAAAACAACTACGATGCTGGAAATGTGGAATGCTGGGTCATAACCAAAAACGCTGTAGAGAGAAGAGCCAGGGGCCACCCTCGGCGACGAAAAGCTAAAAAGGGTCGATGCTAAGGGGCTATCATCAGCCTATATTTATCAGCAAGCCCCAAAGAAAAAAACCTACGCGATTACAGTCAACTGGGAACAACGTTTTTGTGGATGGATTAATCAATGGTGAAAAGCGCATCATACTGATGGATACAGGCTCGACGAAAACCATTATAAGGCCCAATATTGTCATAAAACCGACCAAAGTTGAAACTACAAATTGGCATCTTCGAACAGCAACAGGGTAGCAAGTTAAAATACATGGCGAAATAGAGGTTCAAGTGACGCTGGGAAGTTCCAACTTCCAACATCAGATGTTAATTGCAGATATTGAAGAGGAAATAATTATTGGAATGGACATCATGAATTCCAGAGGATTCCAACTGGATTTTAAAAATGGTATTCTTATGGTAGATAATGAAGAAGTAATACTGCATGGAAAAAATGAGGAAATAGTCCGTGTACTACTGGCAGAAGATTCTTCGATTCGATACCAGAAAGAAGCGAGAAGATTTTGGTAGCTCGGCTGGATGCAAATGTGAAGAAAGGAGACACAATGATGTTTGAGCCCAGAATAGACGACACGGAGTTAGGATGAGGAATTGCATTTCGTAAGACCCTCTTGCATGTGAAAAAAAATGTGTCCATCAGTCATGAACGTCAATCATTATTCTGTGGCGTTGAAGAAAGGCATTGTTCTGGGGCACTGTTCATCAGCTTTCTCTGTGGTTCGGCGAGTTTCGGAAACAGAGGTGACCGCCACTCTTGAGTTCACGGATGAGTTGAAAAATCTGGTTTACACCTGCTCAAAGGGCTTAGACATGAAACAAAGGGAAAAGTTAAGGGACCTACTACGGCAGTTCAGCAATGTTTTCGATACTGGTGAAGGGGAAAAGGGAAGAACCAAAGTAATACAACAAATGTGGGATGCACAGCCAATTCTTCAGTCGGCAAGAAGACTACCCTTGGCTAAAAGAGAATAAGCTGAAAGGATAATCCTGGATATGGAAAAAGAAAAAGTTATCGAGCCATCGATCAGTCCATGGTCGTCGCCGATGGTGCTAGTTAAAAAAAAAAAGGACGGCTCAACACGATTTTGTGTGGATTATCGCCAACTGAACAACGTGACAAAGAAAGATAGTTACCCACTTCCTCGTATTAATGACACGCTGGCTACATTGGCTGAATCAAAGATTTTCTCGACTTTAGATTTGAAAAGCAGCTATTGGCAGGTCGAAATGGCTTCAGAGGATAAGGAAAAGACTGCATTCACTATCGGAACTGGATTATGGCAAGTCACCGTGATGCCATTTGGCTTGTGTAATGCTCCTGCAACATTTGAGAGGCTTATGAAGACTGTTTTGAAGGGCTTATCCTGGTCAACGTGCCTAGTGTACCTTGACGACATCATTGTGGTCGGAAGATCGTTTGAGGACCACTTAAAGAACTTGAAGGAAGTGCTTCAGAGACTTGGTTTGAAGCTCAGCCCGAAGAAATGTCACCTTTTTCAAGAAGAAGTTTGGTACCTAGATCATGTAGTCTCTGGTCAAGGAATAGCCGTGGATAGGTGAAGGCAGTTCCAGATTAGCTGATTATTAAAGACCAACGAGAACTTCGAAGTTTCCTTGGCCTATGTACCTACTAACGGCAATAGGTATAAGGACTTGCAAAATCGTTTTAATGGGACTGCCAGGATTATTTTCAGAAGTTGAAGCAGGCTTTAACCAGAACACTAATTCTGGGATATCCGCTTTCAGAGGGAAAGTTCATTTTGGATACCGACGCCAGCAATGTGGGGCTAGGCGCTGTGTCATCTCAGATCCAACAGGGAGAGGAGAAGGTCATAGCTTACTTTAGTAAAACTTTATCATAATCAGAACGTAACTACTGTGTTACAAGAAGAAAACTTCTAGCAGTAATCAAAGGAGTAGAAAATTTTTATAAGTACATTTACGGAAGAAAGTTTTTGCTGAGGACTGACCATGCTGCTTTGAAATGGCTCCTGCAATTCAAGAACCCTGAGGGACAGGTAGTCCGATGGATTGAAAGACTACAACAGTTTGACTATGATACAGAACATCGTGCCGGTAAGACACATAATAACGCAGACGCTTTGTCAAGAAGACCCTGCCCGGAAACCTGCCAACACTGTCACAGAGCTGAGGAGAAAGAAGCCATGGTCCACAGGACAACGGTGGTTAATGATGCTTGGCAATCAAATGCATTACGGGAAGAGCAAGGAGAATGACTCAGATCTTAGCTTGATCATCAAATGGAAAAATGAAGGCCGACGACCAGCATGGCAGGAAATAGCGCGTCATTCTCCGGTGGTTAAGTCCTACTGGATGGAACGGAATCACCCAGATCGTAATACCCAGAAGCAGACACTCGAAATTAATGCAAGCAATCCATGATGGCGTTACGGGAGGACACTTTGGAGTCACAAGAACTGTTGGGAGGCTGAGAGAGCGTTTCTACTGGGTGGATTGCCAAGCAGATGTCAAAGAATGGTGTAAGAAATGCGCAACCTGTGCAGCCAGTAATGGGCCGCAGAAACGCCCAAAATCGCCAACGATGTTGCAGGGCCCTTTCCGGAATCTGACGATCGAAATAAATACATTGTTGTAGTATTGGATATCTTTAGTAAGTTGGCCGAAGCGTTCGCCTTGCCCAACCAAGAGGCTACTACTATCGCTGACGCATTGGTCAGAGAATGGGTATGCCGTTTTGGCATCCAATTAGAGCTATACTCGGATCAGGCCAGGAACTTCGAGTTGACGTTATTCCAGAAAGTATGTGCTATCCTGAAAATTCGAAAAACGAGAACCACTGCATTACACCCGCAGTCCGATGGTATGGTTGCACGGATGAACAGGTCTATCAATCGACTTCTGATGGCCAAGGTCGTCTCTGACCATCAAACAGATCGGGATCAATGTCTTCATCTGTTTCTCATGGCATATCGTTCTTCTGTTCATGAATCGACTGGTCAGACTCCAGCTAACGTAATCACCTGGTGAAGAAATCGCAGGCGAAGATTATGTCAGCAAATTGCGCAGAAAAATGGAAGACATACAATGGTGCGCGTGAATATTCGAAACGCCAGTGACAAAATGAAAGTCGTACGATGTAAGAGCCGAGGAAGGAGGATTTCAACCTGGCGATTCAGTCTGGCTATACAATCCTCAATGACGACGTGGTATATCCCCGAAACTACAAAGTTCTTGGGAGGGCCCCTATGAGATTGTGGAAAGAATGAATGACATTATCTACAGAATCAGGAAGTCACTTTAATCACGAGGCATTTTAATCGCTTGGTGCCTTACGCTGGGAACCACGCCGACCAGGAAGCTGCAATTCGCTCTATCAGTCCACCAGGCAAGGACACTTCTGAAGCCTTTATGTCATTGTACTTCAACGGCCAGAAAGTCCAACATGGCGTAGTCAGGGAAGAGCAGTGTGATTTATTCAGAAGGCTTAAATTGTCCACTCGGATCCACATCTAGGATATAACAACCTACCAGATAGTATAAAAAACTTTGATAGTTTAAATAGTTTCAATAGGGTATTGAAAAGTTATAAACTATATAAATGATACTGTCTAATCATTCGGTAACCTACCTGCTTGTTGAAGGGTTGGGGCTCTGTTAATGTGATAGTGCCTCGTTTAAGTTTTTGTTATTTGTTTTTTTTTATAGATTTATGTAATGTCTACCGCTCATAGTTGATTTAGAATTTATCAGTATTTTTTTTTCTTGAGACCAGTGTTTGGAACAATGCTTAAAGAAATTTTGAACTTGTATTTGTTTTGTGATAAATGATTTTCAAAAAAAAATTAAAATTCTGGGACACAGTATATGGGAATCCCAACACACAAAAGAATTATATAACAGCAACAAATTACAAAATGTAGGTATGAAGATGTTTTTTGTATAAACACATAACGCGTTATAGTAAAACGTAATGCTGTCAAGTAAGTATTGAATTCAGTTCCTCCAATGAAGTTGTTGGCAAAAGTACTGGAATGTGACTTGATATCAGGGAAAGTATTAAAGTTAAACCACCACCATATACGACAGTCAGACATCATGAGCAGTCTACAGCTAAGAACAAGGCAACAGAAAGCTTTGGAAAGTTTACAAGAAATTTAAAGACCGATCGAATGGTATCGCTCCGGACATTCAAAGCGTGACTGTAGAGTACGGCTGAGATCTCACTCCACTGTCTGCTTTGTGGTGACTCTGAGTATTGAATGATTAATAATAAGAAATCAGGAAAACTACAATTAGTCAACACTATGCGGCGGCTGTTGACCAGAATCAGACCTATCAAAATGCTAAGAAGTACCTACTGCGGACAGTTTGATTATTGAAGGTAAAATTAATGGGGAAAATATCACCACAAACATGATATTTACCTAAACTTCTAAGACCTGCAGGTCCTGACCGCGGCCTGCCACCGGTACTACAAGAGCTAGTCGTGCTCCTAGTGCTACTGCTACTCGGACTTCTGTGCATCTCCGATTGTGATCTTTGAGTGCTCCTTCTGCGAGACTTTCTTTGATTCGCAGACCTACAGATCCAAATATATCATTACAATAGCGGCACTTTAAATTCGAGACAAGTCATATATCTACTGCTACCTGCACAAGCCAGTAGGGCAGGTCTCTCCTAAGGCGCAATTCGCTTCGCATATGCTTCTGGATTGTAAAAGTTCTTCGTAGTTGTTGAGCATCAGCGCGCATTGTTCTTGGTCTTTGTAGACTAAGGCTAAGCTGGGGTAACGTTCTTTCAATCTTCGACGTTCCTATGGCAGAATAATCCATATTAGACCCATAAAACCTCTTACGATTGTGAAAAATTATGAAATAATTTGAAACGATTCAAATTATTACTTACTTCAATAAGTCTAGTACATTCAAACTCCTCCAACTGTTTGAGAAACCCCAAGTTTGGATTGGCAACATTTCTTCCTGCTCTGACCACTTTAAGAGCATCTTTATAGTTCAGAGTGGTGACGGACATTATGTAAGCTACAGCCACTGTTACACTACGGGACATACCAGCGAGACTAAAAAACATCCAAAATAGAAAAGACTATGGTTGAAAACTATAAGACTCACCAATGAATAAGGACGTTTCCATCTCTCAAACGGGCGGCATGGATGAAGTCGTTGGAAAGTGAAAAATACTGAGTCAAATTTTGGTCTGGTGTGTCTGAAGCCATGATGCACAAATAGTGTTTATCCTAGAAAAAAAAAATACGAGTCTAAATTTAGCTCAATTAGTTATTCGAACTAAGGGTAAATACGTAACAAAATTACAACAAATTAGCAGCTACCGTAATAAGAAATTTGAACCCAAAGTTTCTGTTACATGAATCTCATGATAATTGGGTCTAGACATGTTTTATGCCGTAGACATTAATTAAAATTTTTGTTATTAAACTTCTCTGGGGTAAAATAATACCATTCGCCAGTTTCTGACATTTTTATTTCTCTCGTTATTGTATACATTAACTTCTCCGGCTTTGTAGAACTCATTACATTTAAATTTATCAGAAGTTGCTTGATAGAAATATACACTGCACCAATGGAAATATCATCCAGAAAGTCTTCAAAACAGCATTCTATAACGTTTCTTGTTTTATTCAATTTATGATGTTTAAATAAACCGTACACATCGAACAAAGTCAGATCCAGAAAAAGTTCAACTTGAAGAAAAAACTCACGTACACACTTGGACTTTTGGTTAGTTCACCTAAGTAGGTAGGTACTTCCGGAACTTCTTTAAAGCCATTGTTTTTCTGCTTTATTGTGAAAACACAATGCAAATGCAAAACAAGAATTTAAAGGACTCCTCTGTCGCCGACACAAAAGAAACTTTTCTATTTTAGGGAAATTTTCATTAGTTTAGTTTAAACTCCACCTGAAGTCCTCAGGGTAGACTTTGTTAAATTTTCGATGACGTTATCGTTTCAATGTTGCATGTAATTTACGCAGTGCCATGTGGGAAATCAGCGCGTGTTAATTGCGTTGCGAGGGCGTCCTTGTCCATGAAATTTTTGTGGTGGCATGTCAAATATGGGACAACAAAACTCAATTTGAGTTTATTAGATTTTATGCTCGGCTGGTAAATGTACGGCAATTATAATAACTAGTCATGGGACAAATGGAAAACACAACAAAAGCATGAAAATCGCGGTCGTTAAAGGTAGATTAGTCTAGCCACAAGGTATAATAATAAATATTAAGTTAAAATCAATGGTGTGGTGAAACACCAAATACCATTAGCATATTATGTGAGGCATGTGAAATTTTAAACTTTCTTATATGGTTTTGAGTACCTAATTCTTGTAAACCGGAGGTGACTTGCTTGTTATTCATTATGGTAAACTATATTCTGTATCGTGTATTTTCTAATTATCTTTGCTTTATTATAAGTTTTAAATATTTATCAATTGGTTACAGTTCATTCTCTTAATGAAATATTTTCAAGACGTCTATACATATACTGTCCAGAACAATAGATAACTTTTGCATTGTCCAAATCGATTTTTATCCTGCTGCTTCCATCGAACTTTTCCATCAATCAATTTTCAAAGAATGTAATCCTCTTTCAAATAAACTTAAGTTGATCCGTTTAAAATTAATGGCGAGCCATTATTTCAAGCCATTTCAGGTTATTAAAAATTGAGGTCATTGATTTTTTAATAACAATAAAGCCCTTAAATGAGTAGTTTCTTTAGAAAAATGCGTTTTGTTCTATAGGCACCTGTCAAATTAATATTATTCGTTAGGTTTTCCTAATGGGAAAAATCGAACCAACTAAGCGGAAACTTCTTTAAATCAATCGGGCGTACCTATTCAGAAGTTTATTGGAATTCTAATTAAAGAGATTTTAAGCTAGAACTTTTTTAAATATTTTCAAGGATACTGAATACTAGACAAAAGGTACTTATGCGAGAAAATACTGGATTGTATTAGGGATATATTTTTCTGATTATTTGGAAGTGCATCGCTATATACAACAATTCTCATATTTAGGAATAAAACTACAACTTTCAAACTATGCTCTTTACATACAAAACCATTGAATCGAGAAATCACTAGAAGACATGTCATGTAAATTTTACGCTTCCTTCCTCTCAAATCAGATCGCCCGATTTATCCTCGTGATATAAGACTTGAACCTGTCAAAATGTAACATTTTTTCTTCTACATCTGAACCTATACTCTCAGATTCATGATCATCCCATATCTTATTTTCCATCTCGTTACTCCCCAAAGTAGATACTATGTATATGCCATTCAGGAATAATAATGTCCTTTGGATCTATGTTCTTCGTCATACTACTTGTACCTTATCATCTTCATCATTCCAACTATCCGCATCAGGGACGGCTCCAGGACCCGTGCAGCCTGTGTCCCTGCACAGGGCGGCAAAATCGAAGGGCGGCAAAAATCTCAGAGGAATTGTTGGGTAAAAAAACCCTTCTAGAATTACAATAGCTGCATGATTTATTTCATCAATTATCGCGTTCGCCTATCACTGCCAGACTTGGACTCGGTACTCAGTGCCATAAACAATTTGAGCACAGTAGTCCTAAGGACTGAATAAGTACGCAACTAGTTCTGCGCAGTTCCAGGATGATTCGCGAACAGTTCGGAAAACGAGAACCCGAATACACCTATCGCAAGCCTAGTTTCACCAATGACATAGTTTCACGCCTCCGCTAAGCGATTTGCAAGTTATGTTTTGGTGTTATTTGGGTCGATTTTTCAAATAGCGAATTAGCTCTAGGTTAGCTTTAATTTCAGGGTAAACGTACGTATCTGCAATGTTGATCCTCGAGTTATGCTTAACCCCTGATGAGAACTACAAAGTAGGAAAGTAATCGGTATAAGAGGGGCGGCAAAAATTTATTTTGCACAAGGCGTCGAAATGTCTGGAGCCGGCCCTGATCCGCATACTATACCTGTCAAATAAATTCCTTCTAGGATGAAACCTACTCGGAATAACCCAAGGAAAAAGAGAATGAAATTGTATTTACCTCAATTCTGGCAATAGGGTTTCGATATCTAATACGAGAAAAGACGGACTGTCGATAATTTTCTGGAGAAACACGAAATATTCTCCTGAATAAATACAGGAAATGGATGTGGCAGGGGCCTGACACAAAGACACGTAACTAAAATAAGACTTCTCTGTTGGTGAGTTTTTCCATAGACAAACGCTAGGTAGTTAATTCCTTATCTTGTGCTAAATTTCAAAATTAAAATGTCTAATTTGAAATGAGTAAAATGTTTGTGTTTATATGAACGCAGGCCAAAGGATAATGAAATCTTTGGAGCTGCTTGTGATTTTTGTAAAGAAGTTTGGTGTAAAGAGTGTGCTAACATCTCTGCAGCTAAATTTGATGCAATTACATTAGTAACTCAGAAAATGCTACTGTTTTATTGTAAATGTTCTCTAGAGCAACTATATTTACTTTATGATCAGTTGAAACTTAAATCTTACCAAAAAGATCTATACACATCCCAAATAGAAATGGAGTACAGTATGGTGAAAAAATTCAAGTAAAATTGATATAAATCTAAATGACAAAGATAAGGGAAAAGATATTTATTTAAGGCTTAAGAGAATAATTGAAGATTTCGAAGACACCGCTGACTCAGAAAAAGTTAGTGTTGATCAAATTAATAAGGAAAGGATGAAATAACAAATAACTGAAGAAGAATAAAGAATTTTTGCAATTACTAGATGAAAAATGGTAAAATGCTAAATGTTATTGTTTATTTTTTTTTCATATATTTTTTTATAAATTGTCGCCTTGAATGCAGTCTGGTGGCTACCATTATTAAAAGAAGATTTTGTACCGCTATTAATAATAGCAATTATTAACCTAGAGATCACGCTTTTCCTTCAAATTTGAAGTACCAATTTGGTACCAACAGGCTCAGATGACTTCTGGACTTTTTGCTGACGTTTCGGTACCAAGATCAAGAAACACAGAATTGTATAAAAAATACTGAAGTATTTACAGGTAATATTATAACGAGCTAAAAACCGCTTCGTTGCGTACTGCAGCGTACTCGTACTGACTGATGATTTTGGTAAGAGGATTCCTAATCCTCTATTTCGTCTTCTTGGAAATGAATTCTGAATTAAAGTAATATGTGAACCATGTGGTCCGTGTGCAAGTTGTAAAGATGTCGAATACAGCGCAGCGTTGAAAAATTCTTTAGGTGATCAGAATTTGATTTTGTCATCGTTATAACGGGTTTGAACGATGTAAATATTTATATTAACGATATCACCTTAGCAAATAAAAGCTTTTATACCAACTTGATTCTATGTAGGTACCTACTATTCCTGTTATTGATGATGTCAATGATGTAGGTACCTACCTTATGGTATTCAAAATGTAAATAACCAAATTTTTAAGACAACATCTGACTTAAAACGCTTTTCCAGCAGTGCTTACCTTAGAGATAGGTTTTTGTTTAAACCATTAAGTCAATAGTTGTTACCTGAATGTGTCTGGATTGTGTAAATTGGCTATAATAGTTATTTATGGTACTAGTGTGTTATGTTGAAAATAAGTCAAGCGAGAAAAATTTATAGTATGTATAATTTCTCGAGTGACTTAGAAATCATAACACACGAGTAGCATATAATGTTTTTCCTACGACCACATACAAAAATGACAAATTGCGCACTAGTTGGTTCTTTGGAAAGCGCTAAATATCAAACGCGTGCCGAAAGTACTTTCAATACGCGTGCAAAATGACTTTCAACACACGTGTGGAAAATATACTGTTGTCATTATTTGTGATTGATATCACAAAATGACAATTTACTTTCAATACGTGGGTTGAAAGTACTTTCAGCACGTGTGTTGAAAATGGAAAGAAATAAAATAGGAGAAAATTGGTGTAAATCGGTTTCTGGTCGTAGGACAAATGGTGTACATCACTTGTGAGAAAGCGTCTTTCATACACTTTCATACACGCACTCGGCTACCGCTTCGCGCGAAATAACACTCGTGTGAAATTTGTCACTTTCTACACTCGTAATATAATATACTATTACCCAACAACTGAGAAATCATCACACACGAGCAGCATACAAGAACTGAAAAACTAACAGGTATTATTTGAGAATGAGTCATCTTTAAAACAGGACTTATAAATTTTTATTTCCTGACGTTTTGCGTTGACGTTATAAGAGAGTGAGTTATAAACC